TCTAAACTTGAAGTAATGCAATTATAAAATTGGAGTAAATTTTAAATTAAATAGATTGACAAAGATGACGGACTTTTATGGGGATTCCTTTATTAAGTTAGCTAATGAGGATCAATAGCCATAGTTTTTGAAAATTTTCATTTTTTTTAAACTTTTATTTTATAACTTAACACACTTTAATCTATTTATTAAAGTTTGTACTCGCCGAGACATAGCACACGCGCAACGCGCGTACCCTAATACTAGTGTTATTAAAATATACATAGCATTATAACACCAAAAAGGATTTCGATCGGGATCAGAATGGCCAATTTGCCACCCCAAAAAAACAGGGTCCACAACTAGTAGGGGTGTCAAATGGGCGGATTGGATTGGTGGTCAAAATGAGTTGAGTCAATAAATCAGAATGGTCATTGACCAACCCAAAAGTTACTTAAGCTGAAATGGGCTGGGTCAAAATGTGATAAAATTTGAGTCATAGCCCAACTCTTATCAATCTTTAATTAATATGTGTTATTTTCTTATGAATTGTTTAATTATCAAATAAGATTTTCTTTCTTTCGTTGTGGTCCTATAGAACTTATTATCAAACAAACAAAAAATACTTTTAAGATATTTTAGTAAATTTACTCATGAATCAATTTGGGTTAAAAAGTATTCCAACTTTAGATGGGCGGGTCAAATAAGAAAATGAGAGAATTCAAAGTAGGTGGGGAACTTCATTTTCATTGATCATACAATTCTTATACACATATGTATTCTCTAAAGTTATAAAAGTAAACAGTAAGTGCAGATCTTTTCTCAACAAAAATAAACAATTCATTTTTTTAAATAAACAATTTTGTCGCTCTCTTTTTTGAAAATTGCTGGTCTTTAACATTCATTTTACCCGTGAGCAATTGTTCAATAGTATTATGCATGTATCGAGTAGCAATAATTAAGAATAAAAAACTAAACAACAACAGTACTAAACATGTTTTCACCACCATGTTTCACATGCGAGCGAAATCCTTTATCTATAAATTCATGCTCCATTTAGAGCTCATCCATCACCAATTAATAAGCGCAGCTATTACTAAATCAAAAGAATCAAAAATGAAGATAGTTATTTTGTTTTCATTCCTCCATCTCCTTATTGCCTTTTCCTCTTGTAATGCTAGAATAACAACTCCGAACCAGCTCTTGCCTCCTCTGGTGCGTGACAATCAAGGCGAGATTCTCACATCCGACTCGAGGTACTTCATGTTGCCTGGAGCTGGTGGTGGCGGAGTAACACGAGACTTGGGAAATGGAACTGAAACCAGCTCTAATTTTGTTTGTCCATTTCAGGTGGTGCAGTCTCGAAAAGATCTAGACCCCGGCATGCCTGTGTTTCTAAAACCTCGTAATAACCAAGTTAAAAAGATCAGTGAATCAACTTCTCTTAACATCAAGTTCTATCTTAATCCAACTTTCGCATGTGCTGACAACTT